GGCCTGTCCCTGGCCACCGTCCAGCCTGGGCTCCCTCCCACATCCTGACCACAGCTCTGACCAGGCAGTTGGGTGACGACAAGGGGGCGGCTTCTGATTGTCCACCAGACAGCTGTGCAGGCACAGGTGCCAAAGCTGGCCACACAAGCCTTTCACTGGACTGGCTATCTCTTGGATAAAGAACCGGCCACAGCCCCGTCTGTTTGCATTTCTCAAGCCTGGTGGAGCCAGCGCCATGGCAGCCAGCCTCGCCTCTCCTGTGTGTTTTCTGGCCTCTCCCCTCCTCCTGCCACCTTGTAGCGGCTTCCCTTAAACTGGCACTGCTCCTGGCTTTCTGAGCTACTCCCTGCCCCGACAGCTGATTTCTCCCTTTCTTTGTCGCCTTCTCCATCTATTCTCTCATTCTACCAGCATCGTTGGGGACCTCAGAGTGGGTGGGAACCAGGGACATTGGGAACCACCCTGCAAGGCTCACACATAAATGTCGGGCGCCGTGACTCACGCCTGTACGAGTGCTCATCCCAGCAATTTGGAAGGCTGAGGCGGACAGATCACCTGAGGTCAGGAGTTTGAGACCAGCCTGGCCAACCTGGTGAAACCCTGTCTCTACTAAAAATACAAAACTTAGCCAGATGTGGAGGCACGTGCCTGTAATTGCAGCTCCCGGGGAGGCTGAGGCAGGAGGATCGCTTGAGCCATGCTGTACTGGTTGGATAGTGCTAGAGGCCATGTGGTCGTGAACGAAGTTGAAAATGTTTGCTATTTGGCTCTTTACAGAAAAAGTTTGCTGAGCCCTGAATTGGGGAGGTGGTGGGGCCTCAGTATGGTCTCTGCATGAGATGGTTTCCGCCTGGGCTCCTGACAGAGGAGGGGAGAGATTTGTGTTTCCAATCAGAGACGGTTTGTTGGATGGGGAATTGGTGTCTGTGTCCCAACCCTGCGCGCTGGACTTCTTAAGGAGGGAAGCAGGGTGGGGGGTTCTGAGTGGTGCTGAGTCAGGACTGGGTCCTCCTCACCCCTTCTCAGGGGCCACCCTGCTCACTGAGCAGCTGCAGCCCCCCTCAGGCTTTGGACAGCCACCAGCCCAGGACAACTGGTGCCCCTCCCCTGCAGGTCCAGGCAGTGGCAGGAGGTCAGGACAGAACTTGTTTTCAGCACACAAGGAATCCTGCCCCCATCATACCCAGAAATGTCTGCAGATCCTGGGGCAGGAGGTGAATTCCTGAGTGAGCCCCTAACACGCTCCTCTGTGAATGCCACCTGTTTGGTGTGGGTAGCTGGAGAGGCTGGGCTCCCTGGCTTCCCTGCCCTCTCTCCCCACTCCACAGAGAGAGGTCCTCAGGGTTCTACCCTCCTGTCATTGGTCAGAGTGACAGTCAGGACTGCCCCATTAGGAACAGCGGTCGTCTCTTTCTTGGGTGACTTTTCTTGCTCCTGAGGTACCCTGGATTCTCCCCAGCCATTCTCTCAGATATGGGAGGGGCTCTGGGGAAGGGAAGGCCTGCCCTGGACAGATCTCAGGCACATGGAGAGATGAGAACACGCATTCCACCTGCGAGGGGCTTCTAAACAGCAACTAAGCCCGTATAGGGACACACGACCCCATGCCTGCTCGCTGCCCGGGGAAGCTGTGCCAGTCCCTGGCTGTGCCTTTGTGCCTGGAGTACTGCCGGCCAGGCTGGCCACTGCGCCACTGAGCCATTGGCATGCCCTGAGCCCCCAGCGGTACCAGCTCCTCGGGAGGATGGCCTCTGTGCCCAAGCCTCTTACTCTGGTGGGTTGCTGCCCCAGCGATTGATTTTTTTAATGTGTTTTGTGCTGACTCTATTCTGTTCAGCAGCAGCCGTCTCTCTGGCACCACAGTGCCTGCCTGCAGGCTGGGCTGGCCAGATAGCCAGGGAGAAACACATGCCCCATGCCTGGGAGGCTTGGCGGGAGAAGGCAGGAGCTAGGTTCACGGTCAACGGACAGCCATGGAGGGGACCTCAACCCAGGTCCCCATCCTAGCTGTTCATCAACACCCTCAGGTTTCAAATATCCACGGGCTCACCCTGCCATGCTATGAAGCCGACGGGTGTGACTCTGGGCTAAGCAACGGACAACACAGGCTAAGAAGGGCAGCTGGCACTTTAGCAGGGCTGGAGACTTTGGAAGACACAAAACACGTGATTACATTAGCATACATGATGGCTGTGAACATTTACAAACTTTTTTTTTTTTTTTTGGAGACAGGGTCTTGCTCTGCTGCCCAGGCTCACTACAGTCTTGACCTCCTGAACTCAGGCATTCCTCCCACTTCAGCTTCCCGAGTAGCTGGGACTGTAGGTGTGTCCCACCATGCCCAGCTAATTTTTTAAATTACTTATAGATATGGGGTTCCACTCTGTTGCCCAGGCTGGTCTCAGATTACTGGGCTCAAGGGATCTTCTCACCTTGGCTTCCCAAAGTGTTGGAATTACAAGTATTACCGACTGTGCTGGCCTTTTTTTTAAAATTATTTTTTTTGAGACAGAGTCTTGCTCTGTCACCCAGGCTGGAGTGCAGTGGCACAGTTTGGCTCACCGCAACCTCCGCCTCCTGGGTTCAAGCAATTCTACTGCCTCAGCCTCCTGAGTAGCTGAGATTACAGGCACCTGCCACCACGCCCGGCTAATATTTGTATTTTTAGTAGAGACAGTGTTTTACCATGTTTGTCAGGCTGGTCTCGAACTCCTGACCTCAGGTGATCCACCCGCCTCGGCCTCCCAAAGTGCTAGGAATTCAGGTGTGAGCCACCGTGCCCAGCCCCCGTTTTTTCTTACTAAAATTAGAGACGGGGTCCGGTATATTGCCCAGGCTGATCTCAAACTCCTAGTCTCAAACAATCCTCCTGCCTTGGCCTCTCAAAGTGCTAGGATTACAAGTGTGAGCCACCAAGCCTGGCCTACAAACTTTTTAAATCACAAAAGGAATCTGTATTTGTTAGAAACGTTTGAAACAAGACCAGAATTAATGGAAGATGAGAGCAGAAGGAGCCACGGTTCTCTCTACTCACTCCCACATCCTATTCCCTAAAGAAACCACTCTCAACAGTTTGGGCTGCCTGTTTCCAGATGTTTTCTGGAAAACTTGCTTGATCGTTTGAGACTTGCAACAATTCCAAGAGATGAGCAGGTCCGATCGCATAGTTGTCAGTTTACAGGTGAGCACAAGGGGCTTGAGGAAGTCCTTCTTTGTCCCAGTGGAGCATCGAGCCAGCAACAGAGTCAGAAGGAGCTCCTACATCCCTGGCCCCGCCCGTTCTCTTTCCCCTGGGACCAGCTGCCCCCATGAGTGGCCCATGACTTCTCTTCCCCAAGCAGATCATCTTGTTGCGCAAGCAGAAAACTCGGAGGCCTCATTTCAGGTATTAAACAAGATGGCGACCATCTCTAGAGGCCTCTGTTCTCCAGGCCTCCCAGGGTTACAGGGAGGGCTGGAGCAGGGCAGTCTTCCCAGGCGCAGGACCGGGGAGCTGGGAGTGCAGGGGCAGAGGACAGCTGGCTCCCCAGTCCCAGGAAGAAGGCCAGCAGGGCTCCTTTAGTGATTCCCATTCACTTCAATCCTGCTCTTAGCTTTGGTGTTGAGTGACAGCCTCGTCTATTCTAGAAACCAGAGAATTGGAGGGCAGTGTGTTCAGGTCTGACAATCCCAGAACAAGACAAGACGAACTCCCACTCCACCTTTAGGAGAAATTGTATGTGCAGTTTCAGTGAAGTTATTTGACCTGATGAAAAACATGTTTCAAAAGGAAAAGCAATACCTTCCAGGATGAGTCAGAAGTATTCTTCCCATTTTGCTATAAAAAAAAAGTTGATATAATTTGTCCTTGGAAACCAGTGGAGAACAAAATGTAAAGAGCAACTCCATAGGGACAAAAGGAAGCAAATCTGCACACTTCATATTCTTTAGGCAAAAGACAATCTGTTCCAAGAAGCGAATGGCTGTTTTTTTTTTTTTTTTTTTTTAGTTTTCTATAAAATCAGCATTTCTCCCTTCCTTGGAACCTACCCAAAGGTCCTACCTAGAACTCTTTCAAAATCCTACCTAGAACAAAAAGTAAAATTGGGTCATGATAAGCCTATGCCTTGTTTTTTGTTGTTGCTGTTTTGTTTAAAAATTTTATTATTATTATTATTTTTTTAAAGACGGGGTTTCACCATGTTGGTCAGGCTGGTCTTGAACTCCCAACCTCAGGTGATCTGCCTGCCTTGGCCTCCAAAGTGCTTGGATTACAGGCATGAGCCACCATACCCGGCCAAGCTGGGCTAGAGAGCCCAGGCCCAGCTAACATATTCTATGTTTAAGTTACAAAAAGGTATATGCTTGCCTCTGTATAGCCAATGAAACCACTTTCGGGGTATCCATCCAGAGATATTCCTTAGTGTACGTGTTAGACAGGCAGATGTGTTGTTTCTGTTACCCTCTTTTTATTTTTTGAGATGGAGTTTCGCTCTTGTTGCCCAGGCTGGAATGCAATGGCGCAATCTCAGCTCACCGCAACCTCCACCTCCTGGGTTCAAGCAATTCTCCTGCCTCAGCCTCCCGAGTAGCTGGGATTACAGGTGCGTGCCACCACACCTGGCTAACTTTGTATTTTTAGTAGAGACGGGGTTTCTCCATGTTGGTCAGGCTGGTCTTGAACTCCTGACCTCAGGTGATCCACCCGCCTTGGCCTCCCGAAGTGCTGGGATTACAGGTGTGAGCCACGGCACCCGGCCTTCTGTTACCTCTTTAACCCAGATGGGAGTGTGCCATTTCGTCCATTCATTGAGAATTGAAGCCAGCCAGTCCCACAGCCTGTTCTGCTCCTTGATTCCTCTTGTTTTGTTTTTCCCCTTTCCAGTGTATCTAGAACACGGTTCCATATTCGTCCATCAATGCTTCCAAGTCTTTGTTCCGCCTCCTGTGACCCATCACACGGGCACACGGCAAGTGTGGAACCAGCCGCCTATGTGGGTGCCTCCAAATCCTTTGTCATTATTACAAACAACGCCGCCTGGGTCATGTCACAAATGTGCACGCATAGCTGGTGTTCCATTTCTACAAGCAGAACCGCTGGGTCAAAGAATCTGTGCATTCAGATTGATCCTTGCCCTCCGAGGAGGTGGTATCATTTTACAGCCACTAGCAAAGTAAGAGAGTGGCCTCCCTTCTTGCCAAGCCCTCAAAGCTTGCATCTCTGCCAGTCTGCTCTGTGGAAAATGGGGTCTGGGTATAGTTTTCATTTGCACTTGTCGTGTGCTAAGTGAGACTGAGCATCTTTTCAGCGTCCAGCCCTGTGGCTGGCTCCAGGTCCTCCTTGTACACAGCTCTAAGGCTGTGGCCTTGCCTGTGACTGGCTCTGCAAGATCCAGGACTAGATTTGGGTTTCTATCTTCCGGCTTCTCGCTGAGTCACTCCCAGGAAGGAAAGGGCAGCAGGCTCAGGTTATTTCTGCCTGGGCCATCTAAGCTGCCAGTCCTGGGAAGACCTTGGCCTCCCGAACTCCCTGTGGGCGCCCTGCACCTGTGCGTTGCACCTGTCAAACCCAGCCTTCCTGGGCCCCCTGGGAGGGATAGGGGCTTGCAGATAGGGATCAGGCCAGGCATGTTTGTAAACTAGGCATGAAAGGACCCAGCTAGACTAGAAGGATTTGGAAGAAATCAATGAGCAAAGTCCTAAGCTCTAGGTGACAGAATGAGAGGAATGAGGCCGAGTGGAGAGAAGAGATCAAAGTCGTTGAGAGGACTTTAGGCAGAGAGGGTGGTGAGCCACCGCCGGGGGATGGGACACTTGGGAACAGCTCTCATGGAATCACGTGAGACGAACTGTGCAGCTTCCGCCCTGGCTCCAGGGCCCATCATCACTTCAGGGTGTGTGCTAAGAGCTGCCGAGGGTGGGAAGTAGAGACAGCCTTTGGCCTGTGCATGGAGAATCCAGGCCACGCATGAGGCCAGCCAGAGGCCTGGAGAAGCCCCTCTCTCCACAGGGACCCTCTCTGAACAGGGTCTGGGCCTCTGCGAGGGAGCTCTGGTCAGGTGGTTGTAATTTAAGCTCAGGGCCGCTCTGTGTGTCTTGCTCACTGAAGGACGGAAGGACGAGAGAAGCCAGGAGAAGCTGGTGGCTGCATTCCTGGGCCCCTGGGGAGTCTGCAGCCTGTTATTTCCTGACTCAAACAAAAAGCAAATTTGCTCTGGAAATTGCTGAGGCAGAGTCATCCTGGAGCTCCTCGAAGAATGGGGACTTGTAATTTTCTAAGCTCCAGGGCCTCTGACTCCTGGGAGCTGGGCTTTCCCCTCTGTGAGCTTCCGTGGAGACCCTGGGGCCTGTTCTAGGCTCAACCACCAACCACAGTTCAGGCACTCCTCCCTGCTCTGTTGGGGCCGGCAATCCAGCGCTAGACTTCAGAAGTGGACAGGGAGAGAGATTTGCTGTATCTGGGGCTCCATTTCAGTTCCATCCAGGTGCCCCATGCTGCTGTGTAAGAGGGAAAATGAGCCACTGCTGATTTTTACCCCAGCTAGGATCAGAGACCGATGCGGTTGCAGCAGGTGGCATCTGGGTGGCGTGCAGGCAGGGTGGGGCCCCTTCCTGAAGCCAGCTTCTCAGAGTCTCTCAATGCCACATTACCAAGCAGAGTTTTCAAGAACTGTAGCTAGGGATGCTCTCCTTCCAGCTCTTCAACCTCTCTGGGGGAAAAGCACAAACAGTTGAGGTTGTCCCTGGGGCCACCACGGAATGCTTAATTGCTTTCTGAGAGAATTGTCACCTCTTTCTGCTTTCCTCCCCCTCCCCATTGCCCTTCTCCCCCTTTCCCTCCCTCACTGGAGGCTGTTGCTAGGGGAGCTGGGGCTGAAGACATGCGCTCCCTGACTGTGCCCCAAGGGAACCAGGAGCATGTGCTGACGAGCAGTCCGCTTCTCCAAATATATTGCTGCACCACCTTTGCTGAAAAAAAGAACCCTATGTTTTGGAGGAATAAATGTGCTCTTTGCTGTGAGCCAGGCACTCTTTGACAGCAGATGGATGATGTCCCAGGCCAGCTGAATCAGCCAGACTTTGGAGCAAGCAGTGTGAACCAAGACAGGGACGGGAGCCAGCCAAGGAAAGTAAGGTACAGGGATATTTGAAGGTTTTCATCCCAGGAGTTTAGTCAGCACCTTGTGTAATGATTTACACTGAGGGCCAAAGAGTGATGTGTATTATGAAGGGCAGGCTAAAAAGTAGTCACAAATAAACCCTCTAATGTGTAACAGCTCAGATACCTTACAAATGTATTGCTTACTCACGTAACAGGCCAAGAACGAGCGTTCCTGATTGGCCAGTGGCTTTCCTCCACATGGTGATTCAGGGACCCAGGCTCTTTCCATCTCAGGGCTCTGCCCTTCCCCAGGGTCTTGTTGGTACCTATATCCAGCTGGCAAACAGGAGGGAAATGACGGAGGAAGCACACCTGCTTCTGACTGCCTTGGCTCTGAGGGGCTGCACATCTTTCCTGCTCACATTCTATTGGTCGGAATTTGTCATGTGGAGATATCCAGCTGCAAAGGCAGCTGGGAAATGTAGTCTCTGATCTTAGCGAAACTCTACGAAAGGGGAGTGGTTTTGGTAGACAGCTAACCATCTGTGCCACCCGTCCTAAATCAAGCCACAGGTCAGGGAGAGAGAGCAACTCATTTTGAATTTGTTTTTGTTTTGTTTTGAGGCAGGGTCTCACTGTCACCTGAGTTGGAGTGCAGTGGCATGATCACAGCACACTGTGGCCTTGCTTCCTGGGCTCAAGCAATCCTCCCACCTCAACATCCCAAGTAGCTGGGACTGTAGGTGTGCACCACCAAGCTCATCTAATTTTTTTTTTTTTTTTTTTTTTTTTTTTTTTGTTTTTTTTTTTTTTTTTTTTTTTTTTTTTTTGAGACAGAGTCTTACTCTGTCACCCAGGCTGGAGTGCAGTGGGGAAATCTTGGCTCACTGCAACCTCCGCCTCCTGGAGTCAAGCTATTCTCCTGCCTCAGCCTCCCGAGTAGCTGTGATTACAGGTGTGCACCACCACGCCTGGCTAATTTTTGTATTTTTAGTAGAGATGGGTTTTCACCGTATTGGCAAGGCTGGTCTCGAACTCCTGACCTCGTGATCCGCCTGCCTTGACCTCCCAAAGTGCTGGGATTACAGTCATGAGCCACCACACCCAGCTAATTTTTTGTATTTTTTTTGTAGAATGAGGTTTCACTATGCTGCCCAGGCTGGTCTGAAATTTCAGGAATCTGCCCGCCTTGGCCTCCTGGAGTGCTGATATTACAGGTGTGAGCCACTGTGCCTGAACTTTTAAAATAATTTTTTTAAATTTTTTATTTCTTTTTTTGAAACAGGGTCTTGCTCTGTCTCTAGGCTGGAATACATTGGTGCGATCGTAGTGTACGTAACCTCAGCTTCCTGGGCTCAAGCAATCCTTCTACCTCAGCCTCCCAAGAGCTGGGACTACAGGTGCATGCCATCAGCCCAGCTAATTTATTTTTAATATTTTGTAGAGACAGGGTCTCCCTATGTTGTCCAGTTGGTCTCAAACTCCTAGGCTCAAGTTATCCACCCGCCTTGGCATCCCAAAATGCTGGGATTACTCGCATGAGCCACTGCACCTGGCCACTCGGGGTCTTTAATTGGGGATTCCTGCCTGAGTAACTTGCTAGAAAGGATTTTGCTTTTGCCAAGGATTGGAAGATCCAACAGCCTCAGAACTGGGCAGAAATACAGGGGCCAATTAACAGAGAAGAAAACTACTAAGAAACCTGGATAATGAGGCGTAAGAAGCTGTGCGATTCCCCTGCAATTGGTTTATCTGTGCAAAGTTCATGCCCAAACTTCCCAGTCTGAGCATAGAAACTTGGGCCTCTGGCAGAAGCTGTGCAAACAAAGATGTGGATGGTTCTTTGTGGAGGAGGGGCACAGCCAGAGTGCAGGGTGAGGCTGCAATTTCAAGGCTGTGGGAAATCAGAAATGCCTCCTCTGCCTCCTCCCCTGGGAACAACGTCGGAGGCCGGGAACCTTCACTGTGTGGGCACCTGCATTAGGTATTATTTCTGCATAACAAATTGCCACAAATCTAGCAGCCATTTATTTGCTCACGGTTCTATAGGTTAGAAGGAATACTATGCAGCCATAAAAAAGGATGAGTTCACGTCCTTTGCAGGGACATGGATAAAGCTGGAAACTGTCATTCTCAGCAAATTAACACAAGAACAGAAAACCAAACACTGCATGTTCTCACTCATAAGTGGGTGTTGAACAATGATAACACATGGACACAGGGAGGGGAACATCACACATCAGGGCCTGTTGGGGGGTGGGGGATAAGGGGAGGGATAGCAGGGGGTTGGGGGATAGGGGAGGGAGAGCATTAGGAGAAATACCTAATGTAGATGACAGGGGGATGGATGCAGCAAACCACCATGGCATGTGTACACCTGTGTAACAAACCCGCATGTTCTGCACATGTACCCCAGAACTTAAAGTATAATTTTGAAAAATAGTAATGAAATAAAGAAGTCTGGGGCAGGCTTCACTGGCTTCACCGGGTCTCTGCTTAGGATGTCAGGAAGCCAAAATCAAGGTGCTGGTCAGCCTGGGCTGTCACTCGGAGGCTCTAGGGAAGAATCGACTTCCAGGTTCTCTTCGGTTATTGACAGAACCCACTTCCTTGTGGCTGCAGGACTGAGGTCCCTGGTTTCTTGCTGAGCTCCTAGGAACTGCTCACAAGTCCTTTCTGTGTAACGCTTCCTCCGTCTTTAAAGCCAGTATTCAGTTCTTCTTGTGGTTAGAATCTCTCTGACTTCCCTTCTGCTGTTGGAGAGACTAAGTTCCTGTGATTAGATTATTCCCAGCCAGATAACTGACCCACTTGGAGATCAACTGATTGGTAATGTTAATTACACTACAGATTTCTTCTGCCATATAATATGAAGGAAGTAACACACCCAGGGGCAGGGACTGTGAGGCCATCTAAGAACAGTGCCTGAAGCTGTGGGTCTGGGACCCAGAATGGCTTACATTGAAGCTGAAAAGACTTTTGCTTCTGGACAAATTGTTGTCCCACTTGGTTGCACCCAACCATGGTAGGGTGATCGCTGGGCCTGGCCCCAGCTCTTGCCGAATACACAGAAGATCTAGGGACAGAGAGGAAATGGGCCCTCCTGCTGCAAGTCCCTTTCTCTTGTCAAAAGACAAAATGAGGCCGGGCGCGGTGGCTCAAGCCTGTAATCCCAGCACTTTGGGAGGCCGAGGCGGGTGGATCACAAGGTCAAGAGATCGAGACCATCCTGGTCAACATGGTGAAACCCC